AATGTGTTACAACAATATTTTTAAATTGGTTTTCTTAACATTAATATTACAAAATAACAATTATTCTATAATATACATTAATAAATATGTATTATGGCTATACATGATCAGAAATCACAGCTACTTTTCTTTCATAAGAGGTTTGGTTTATAGGGAGAGCAGTAGAACCCCCTATTACATCACCACTAGTCTTATACACCTGTACTTATATAGTAAAACTTCTTTTTTCCTTCTATGTTCTCATATGACCACTGTAAATATCATTTTTATACATACACATACAACCATAAAGTCATAAGGTAATATGCTTTTCATTATTGAATTTTATATGAAAGATAACATACACAATTTACAAGAAAATAATGGAAAGTACTTATTCTCTCTCTAGGTTGATTTAAATGTTTATTTTTAATGCAATACAAAAGTGAAATTACATAAGAAATGGAATAATAACATTCTATTTGATATAAATTATAGAATTTTTTATGCACATCATTTATATATCCTCGACAATATTCTAGTTGATAAACAAGCTGGAAGATTTTTTATTGGTTAATGATGATTATACATTTAAACATACAATATTATCTGTGAGTAATAATAATGTAACATTAGCTGAAATTGGAGGCCATGGTAGGTTGGTTACTGTGGTCACGCGGTTTGGAGATTAGATACTACTACTCAACACTACACTATTACATTAAAGTTACCCACAAGCAAATTATTTTATTTTTAAAACAGACCGTATAGTGACATTCAATGATATTTCAAAATTTATTTAATTTTTTTCAAAGACAACATTCACAACATTTGTTCATATATTTTCAATCAAACATTATCAATCAACGTCCTCAGAAAATAAAATATTACAGCAGTTGGTAGCAGAAATGAAACAAATATCACAACAAAAAATGAAAAGTCATCTGGCCGTATTTTTGACAAAAAATTCCAGAAGTTCTACGACAGCATTAAAACTGTCTCGGTGCTGATGTGTAGGCGGCACATGCTAACAAAATTGCCGCCCCTCTCCTTTAACCATCGTCGTGTTCATTAACTGGTACTGTGAAACTGCTCGTTCGTAATTAATTTTCACGACGAATTAACATTAGCTAATTCGCGGGCCGTGAATTAAGAGGAAAAGAAATACTGGCTCACCTAGTACGATCTTAAGATGCTTGAACCGAGTCGCGCTATCCTTTTTAACATCCTGAATCTTCAGTGTTGACTTTTTGACGTCTACATGAAGTTTTTTGCTGAACATGGTTCAATGCGAGCCGCCGGCGGCCGCGACGACAAAAACTATCATTGAGGGTGTACAAAGTGGTGCTCATGGATACGGGCCGACTAACTCCACACTGTCACCATGTCAGGGACTCGAAAAAGTCAGCCCCTTTTATCACAGTTCGGCGTCAAATTTCGCGAGCGCACACACCTCCGATCAGATGTACGTGGCAGCCATCTTGACATCCTCGGCGCGCTGCTCATAACCTGTCGGGGCAATGACATCATCGCTTGCACGGTTAATTTATTTTTCCTTTTCTCTTAATTTCTCACCCACGTAAAAGTGTACCCACGCGATCGACCGCATCTCCCTGAAGTGTTTCGTTATCGCTCTTTCATCGCACAAGTCTTCTGCTAATGAATATCTTTATGTACTTACTTTTACTCGCAGTATGTCGAAACTGAATTTTTTTAAAAGCTGCCGCTCTTGCTTTATTTTACCGACCGATGGTAACTTGCTTAATTATTGTTACGAGGCTTTATTTAAAAAAAAACTTAATAAAATATCCTTGAACAATTTAATGTAACCAGAAATTTACGAATTTTACCTTAAAAGAATATTTAAGAATGGTAATCGTATAATTCCTGTTAGAATTTTACATTACCGACTCAGTTACAGACATAACAGCTGAATGTCACTATATCACCCATTCACATGTTCTCATTGATCTAGTGATATTTACAAAACGGAAATGACGTTTTCATATTGGAGCAATTGGCGGTATGTTTAAACGTTATGGCGCAACGTGATAATATTTGTATAGAATTAGCGTTCAATGAAAAAATAAGATATAGTCAGCGAGTTAAGGTACAGAATTTTTGGAAGTTTCTAGATGATGCAAACCTCTTTAAGCCTTATACAGTCACATCAGGTATAATCATATTTCAGTATATATGAAAAAAAAATTTTGAAAATGTGGGAAACTAAGTATTCCAAAGAACATTTTAATTAAATTAAAACACTTGATGTGACAAAATATATTCCTAAAAATTTGTAGCCAAAAAATTATCAAAAATAGAAGAACCAAAATCTCCAAGATGTAAAAGAATGTGGTACAATCAATTAAAAGTTTTTCAAGAACATGGATTAGACAACGTAGCACTTGCAACAGGCAAAGAGTGTAAACTTTGCAGTGACCAGATCAATTACAAGTAAGCACAAACGAAGAAAGAACGATTAAAATTACAGATGATTATCTTATCTGTCTCAACAGGTGTCAAAAATTTTCTGACGTGCTGGAAGATCCATACGACGAGCTACTGAACGATATGAAAGCTTTTGACGAAAGATCGGCCGATAAGGCAAACACCGAACTAATAAGGAAGACATGTACCAACCTCTGTGTACCAACCTCAAAATTACGGCACAGAATCAAATTCTTGTCCACTAATAATTAATTTAATCAAAATTAACATTAATATTTTCTTTATTTAAATATCAATTTTCATATCTATATTAAAATAAAGGAAAAAACTGAACTAATCGTAGAATCGAACTATCGATATATTCTTCTCAATCGAAATTTAATATTCCAAATTGATTGCCAATCGTAACGCGTAAGTATATAGACAAATTGCAGCGAAATCTTAGTCGAATGTATCGATAGTGCTTCCGGTTCGCGGCGAACTTCGCTCGTTTCTAACTGTCCGATAGAATTGGAAATTGGAACAAGGTAGAATATAGATGAACAAGATATTACACACGGGCCGAGGTTCCGAGCAGTATCGAATTTCTGTGGTGCAGGAGGTCGACGCTGTTCGGTTCGAGTAAGGTGCTCCACCACGGGAGCCATGAATGGGCCCGAGGATGCTGAATCCTTGCACAACATCTGGCCCTCCGAGTCTTTCGCGTTACCTTCTTATTGTCAGTTCATCGCACATCCGAAAATCCGTGCCGGATGACCGCGTAGCGTCAGACTGATAAATGTACGCGAATGAAATACATAATGTGCATATTTTAATGTGCATTTATAAAACAGCATTGATTTGCACGATGTGAATTTTACGTTTTTTTCTTCATTAAAATAAGAAATACTCGAAAAGTTCAATAATCATTTTTCATAGAGGTTAGTCTGAAATATTTTTATTACAATTTCTAACAAATAGAAATAGACCTTATAGTGTACATAACCTTTTCAATATAGAATAACCCGCCAAGTGTGCTGTAGAAGTTTGCCAGTTTCTTCGTAGTGACAGTCTGTATTCGGAACGTTGTAAAGAAGAGGGAAAATGTGAGGTTAGTATTTTTCTCTCACATATTACGACAAAATAAAATTTCGGGCGAAAAGTTTAACGATGGTTAATGCGTGAAAAAAAGGAAAAATAAGTAAAAAGTATAAAAATATCGAATCGTAATTACAAGATCCGTGGTAAATATAGCCGGAAAGTTTGAAAATTGAGGGAATTGTCGGAGGCGTGGCAAATTTTTGAAAACAACGCGTTTCACGGCAAAATAGCGATATTATTTTTCCCGACGAAACGTATATTAATTGTATAAAATAAGATTTCGTAGTGTATACCGTTACAGCGGAAACGGAGGGAAATTATGACCGAATTTATCCAGGGAATTCTGTTACGGCATTTTCATTTTCGCATTGTTGTTCAAACTGTATCGTAATGTTAATCAAAATACATTCGTAATTAATCTATATCCATTCGATTTATCCGGGGGTGTTGTCGTAGTTTTTGCGCAAAATTTGCATCGTTCCCGGCCTGTTAATCTAATAAACATGCGATAATATCGTAACTTATTCCATCGAACAACATCGACCTCCTGATTTTATCTAACTAATAATAGAAGGTAGTTGGCGCGCGCGCGCGCGCACACGTGAATGAGGGATCGATTAATTTCGCGATGAAACGGCTGGTCGGCTCTTCAATAAACGGTAACCACCGGCGATCGTTCACCCTACCGGTGTTTCTCGCCTTTTATCGATCTTCTTTCCCTGTTTACTCCTACGTTTCGTTACGGCCAACCGATCTATTCCCCGCAAATTCATATTTTAAAAAATTTCGAAGAAATTCAAAATGGCGAATGTGTCCTCTTTGAGGTAAAGATAAATACGAAGATAAAGAGTGAAATAATGGTAGGTTAAATAAAATTTATTTGGAGAGAAGAAATATCTCGAAATTTATAATAATGGCGATAAATATCGTTGGAAATGGACAAAATTTAAGTACATATAGCCAATTTTCGAAAGAAAAAATAACCATTGCAATTTGTATAATATCACAAGTTACCATCGGAAAATTATAAATTACTTTTACACTCCACTCGTTGCAAAAAACTTCAAAATTCATACTTCATTACACGCCACGCGATAAATCTTAAGCCTGTTTCCAAAGAAGGCAACTTCACGGACAGCCTTCACCTTCATATTTATTTCAGTAGACATCAGCTTGGACACCAGTGAAAATCAATTTTCTCGATAATTCTTGAAAGTTCTCGAGTGTTTTTCTTCACTAAACCTTCGACTGCGAAAAATATCTTCCAATAAAATTTCAGAAAAATTTATTTTAAAAACAATTACTGTTACCTCTAATATCTCACTATAATTCCCTGATAAAAGGAGTTCGGGAATCTCTAAGATTCTTTCGCCCAGTAAACATTTTCCACGCTAACGAAAAATGCAACTGATATTAACCACTCGTTTCAGCCATCGATAAGCAAAAACTGTGTCACAATCGAAGGATTCAAGACGACGAAAGAAACCAGCAAAAACCATAAAATCACTCTGAAAGAAAGGAGAAACTACGCTAACCAACAGAAAAGAGACAAAGAAACAACAGCATCGTCGAAAGGTAAGAAAAAAATAATGGGAGGGGTTTATCGACGTGGTTGCCCTCTCTATCTAGACATCGGCGTGATCGCGTTATTTTCATCGAGCGCACACCGAGGAGACAATGAGGGTAAAAATAGAGGAGAAACACGGTGGAACTCTAAGAGACAAAAGAGAGTGTGGCACCGTGGGGCGGCGGAACCGGGCCCCTCTACCTTCTCCTCCTCAAACAGGAACACAGTGAGACAGAGAAAAAGAGAAACACAGAAAGAGCGAGAGAGGGAAAAGAAGGAGGAGAGGCGCCCGTTGACGGAGATTCGACGAAGCAGAGAGATGTTTAATCGGTGTTGGCCCGCATCAGGTTGATCGGGGACCCCCCAGTATGGGCTGTTAGACGACGACGGCGAGTAACGACGACGATGATGACGACGACGACGACGACCACGTTGTTCGAGGACGAGGACGAGGACGACGACGACGACGACGACGAGGACAACGTGGGCCTTCGATCACCCAGTAAAAGGAAAAGAGCGTGGAGGGGAGGGAGAGGCGTAAGCGGAACCTGGGGTGGGTAGCAGGGTAGAGAGAGGCTGCGCCGTGCCGATGAAGCGAACAATGGAGGCGGGATGCTCATTTGTCTGCGGGCATTGTTGTTCACCCGGCCGGAAACACGAGCTCCGTGCTCTCCTTTCTCTCTCCCTCTCCAACGTGCTCCCTACTCCTCTCCTCTTCGTCACTCCCCCTTTCGACCCGTTTCATACTGGTACGCCTCTACATCCCCCTTCTCTATACCTCCACCTCCTCCTCTTCCTCCTCCTCATGCTCTTGTCCCAGCAATAGACAGATTTTCCGATCGTTGTTCGAACCATGCTTACCAATCGTACCTATGGGATTGTTTCGGTGACGTGGGTAACAGTGGACGATTATTATCCGAGATGTAGTATACGAAGGGTAGCTTTGGAGGATCGTATAGGTGGTTTTGAGATTTTTTTTTTCTGAGGAGAGGTGTATTTAAGATGAATGGATTTTAAGGGGTTTGCTCGATGGTTCATCGGTTGCATTCGAGTTGCACACTGGAGGAATTGAAGCGATGGTTGGTTTTTAAATGACTTTTCGGTGGGGTTGGAAGTTTGTTTGATGTTGAGTAGGATCTTTTTTTAGTTCTGATAAGGAGAATTGTCTATGTACAGTGGTTACTTATTAGGATGATTTTAGGTCAGTTTGAGGTGATTGGTTCTTCTTTTAGTGGTAAATTCCCCATTGATCTCTCTGCCTCTAGTAGTGTATCAATAAAGAGGGTTCTAAATTGAACTTCCTCCCCCTCGATCTACACGTCGATTCACTCGGTCGGTTTCTGTAGATCGTCGTCCTTTCGATCGACGCGA